CTTCCAAGTGAGGTGGTGCAGGCTCCCACCCTGGGGGTTTTTAAGAGGAGGTTGGATGACCACCTTACTGGGGTCATTTGACCCCAGTGCTCTTCCTGCCATGGCAGGGGGTCGGACTAGATGATCTGCTCAGGTCCCTTCCGACCCTAGAAACTATGAAAAATGGAGGCTTACCTGCTTTTGCAAAATTCATCTCCTAATATCTGTGATGAGGTAGATGGAAGCAAATGAGTAGCTGGCACATAATTAGGCTCTTTTTTATCATAAAAGCTAAAAAAACAATTAGAACAAGATTTACACAGAATATATAGTTCTCTATTGAAATAATTCACTGCATAAAAGATACTTTGCAGAATGCCATCAGCAAGCAAACTGAAAGGTCAGTTAATTAAAAAGCATGCACAAAAGGCTGCAATGCAAACCTGCTATTTAAAGTGACTCTTTTGTTTCTTAAAAAAGGGATACTTGTGACTGAATTCAGCTATTCCACGATAAAAAACAGCAAAAGTCAAATTTTAATAATGAACTAAGTTGGGGCAAATTTTAAGGAGCAAGAGGGGAAGCCTGAAAGACCATTCTTATTCACTGTAAACAAGTCATATTTTCCTGTAAGAGTCAATACTTCAGAGAAAAATTATTGTCGTGAAGGAGCTATAATGAAAATATGAGAGAACTGTAATATGCACTATGTTGTCAGAAAATGCCAAAGCTATTATACTGAGCTGCAAACAACAGATTTTTAGGGAATACATTGAAAATTAACTTTTGGTTTAGACTCAAGCTTTTCCAGTATAGTTCTGATGGTTATGGGTACGAAAAGTTAGGTTGGCAAAAGACTATTGCATGCATGCCCTTCATACCACCAAAATATCCTTTTGCTGGTATAAACTACATTCCGTCTGGGAAGAGCTCCTCTACCAGAAATCCTTTTTATTGGTAGACAAGCCAAAATGTCTCTACTGATTTTTGCCATTGTTTATATTAAACTTGGGTATGTGGCTATTTACTGCTTGAAGTATCTCAAGGTTCTCCAACAGCTTCTCCACACAAGGCAGCCACTTGCAAGCAACTGTAAGGTGGAGGATAGGGAGGGGAAATGAAGGGGGCCAGAAATGAAGGAAGGCTCCACACCAGCCTACTTGCCACATCAAGTTGTTTTTCAGTTAGCACTGGTATAATTGCAAGAAGCAGAGTTAACTTTTTCAACTTTTGTGAGAAAAAAGACCAAGGAACAAGGGAAGGGAGAGGTAAATGATACTTGTTGCTGAATAATGAATTTGACCAGCTAGTAGCACATGTAAATATGGTGCTACCTGAAAGCAAACTGGTCTGTTATTAGACACACACATCAGCAGGCACAATAGCTTCTTAGCAAGATAAAACAAAATATTGAAGAAACTTGAAATACTGGAAAAAATCAACTTCAAGCTAATACTAAACCTTCCCAACAGTGACTACAAAACACCTGGCTGCTTACTAACACAGAACACATATGTTCTGTATCAAAGGAATTTTTAACGCCTAGTAGAGGATGGTACTCATCTTCTACTTTAGCAACAAAATTAGTTCTAGACTGCTGGATCCCAGATATAAGGAGAAACGTATTTCAGAAGGGTATCTGGAAATGAATTTACCATAAGGGTGATAAGAACTACCTATTTCCCAGACGTGCATTCTTAGTTCCAGTCAGAGCAATAACTTGTAGTTCTGTTGGACAAATCCTTTATTCAGAATGTATGGATATTGTTTTTTCTCCACTGGCACTTGGAATGCCTCTTTTGCTGTACAGGTGCAGTGAAAGAACTGCTGATTGTACTCCAGTAAAAGCAATTATGTCCAGGGCCACATCTGCCCTTGGAACCCTTTGGAGTATAGTGTGCCCTCAGTTGGAGCATCTTAAATGAGCTTATTCCAGACCTCCCCAGCCTGTGCAGTTTTAGTAGCATAACAGTGTACAGAGTAGATTTGCTGGTATAGTGATGCTGGTTGGGGTGAAGAGTTACAATTCCTGACTGAGAGATGTAAGCCAGCACAAAGATTGGACCATGATATGGAATGAATATTGGTTTTAGAGTGTATGAATTAATGGTGTCCAGAAGATATGCCTTGGAACCTACTCTGGTTTGGGAAATAAAGTTATCTTTGCTTTATCTCTGCTTTGGCTCAAAAGAAACATACCTTCAAGATGTTTTCCCCCCATCATTTTTAAATGCTATTCTTCTGATAATATCACTCAAGACTGATATGAATGTGTAAGCTGTAAATTCTCTTGGGCATAAAAATAACTAAAGAGATGGGAATTCATTTTACAGACCTATAAAATATGTACAAAGAGTTGCAAGGTAATCTCTCTTACATGTTGCACTTTGATTGTAAAAAGCTGAAGTATTCTATGGGAGAAATACTATCATATGAAAACATTGATTATGGAAGTATACCCCACTGGAAAAGGTTTAGGAGGATCAAGTCCAAATCCTTTTTTCATTTGTAGCACAGGGGATCGGTTTGCTTGGTACTTCTGGATTCCTTGAGTAAGATTTGGTATTGCCATGTTCTCCTCACTGTCTCTCAAGCCAAAAGCTGAAGTGTATTCTGCTTTAAATAGATATTTAACAAAAGCATACATAAAATATCAGCATCTGATCATAATTAGAGCACTATATATAATAATAGTATAAATAAATAGGTCAAGGTCCTTTCATTAAATATGAAATCAGAGCTATATCATTGGGAAGAACACCTTGTGGGCCTCTTTGTTTTAAAAACAAAATAACTCAAAAATCTTTACATTCCGCCAAACACGTGGCTATATGGAAACCTTAAAAACATCAGGAAATGGAAGGTATGTTAGTAATTTAAGGCTGAACTTTTGTGGACTTAGGAAGAAGGCTTGTTCTTTATAAAAAATAAACTACTCATGATTAGGACATCATCTTAATTAAGGTCTGTGTGGGGCCTTTCCTAAATGCTAAGTAGTAAACTTGGAGAAATGCAGTACTAGAAATCTACCCATCATAGTTGTTACACTGGAAAGAACAGTTTCTTAGTGAAGTTAGCTAAACTCTAGTCCTTAAAATGGCAAACTTAACCATTTACCTTTTTTTATCCTCTGTGTTGTTAATAATGAATTCCTCCAGCTACTTTCAAAGGGAAGGCACCCAAACAAACTTCCTGATGAGGTTTTGTTATTTGGACATTTGTGATAAGAAGTTAGGTTCGGCTTTTTTTGTTCTTTTGATGTTTCAGGTGAAAGAGATCTGCTGTCTCCGACATGAAATTAAAAAATGCACACACACACACACAATTAATACAAACAGGTATTTAAAGATAAGATGGCATTTTTCAAAAGTTATCTATTGAGCTGCCAGAATATATAAACATCGGAACCAGGTCTCCCTGCCACATGGGAATTAGTTGCAAGTTGCAATCTACTGACAGAGAAACAAAAAGTCAGCAAAATCTGACAGGGAATGAGAAAAAAATGGAAAGAACCATTCATTGCAAATACAAAGTTGTTTTGGGATCTCACATACAGCAAGATGGAAGATCACAGGCTTGAAGGATAATTCAAATTTTTTTTTTTTAGGACACAGCAATCAGGGTTAGAGGCATTTAGCATAAGAAAGTGAAAAAAAACAATTTTTTTGGCTCATCAGTATGTTCTTTTTCTACAAATTACTGGATCCCAATATTATGCCAGGTGCTGTGAACACAGTTAAAATGTCATTTGTTGCATCCAAAGCTCCAAAGGTTATTTTCTATACTAGTCAAGAAGGGGAAGGACAGAGCCCACCCTTACTCCCATTGAAAAATCAAAGCAGAAAGGAACAGCTGTCAAAACCATTGTGAGAGTTTTGCCCAGTGTCATACAACAGTATTATGCTTGGACCTCAGAGTTAATTTAGGCAAGAAGCCTCCATCTTTTTGGTCCTGGGCTGACCTAAGTCCAGTAACCATACTGCAAACCAAAGATACTGGTGCTGCACTCTTACTCACTTCATGCTTTGTATGAACATGAGTTGACTGAGGATGGCTATACTTCACATTGGTTTCCTCTAACTCAGTTAGGCTGTTCTGACACGAAGGATTGGTGAAATGTACGTTTGACACAGTTCCATGATTCTGTATTAGGGTAGGGATAAACTAATGTGGAAATAGCAATATGGGAAATATTAAGTTAGGGGTGGGCAAAATGCGGCCCAGGGGCTAGATGTGGCCCGATCAGCCATTCTATCTGGCCCGCAGGGCCCCTAAAAATTTTAGAAAATTAATATTTTCTGCCCCTGGCTGCCTATCATGCAGCCCTTGATGGCTTGCCAAAACTCAGGAAGCGGCCCTCTGCCCAAAATAACTGCCCGCCCCTGTATCAGGGGGTTTCTATACCCTCTTTTAGATATTAAACAAATGGATCTAATGCTGGCAGGTAAATGGAAAATAGTTTAGATTACTGACAGGAAAAGCTATTAAAAACCCATAATGTCAAGAATTTCCTTAAGTTTTTAGTGATGGGGAACAGAATCATCCACTGGAATGCAAACAAATATTTCTGAGCTAGTCCAGTTTTTTACATTAATCTCACTAACCAAGAAAGACCAAGTCCTTGGAACAAAGTGTGTCTGACATCTCTTATTTGTGGGTGAAATGTGAAGTGTCATTGTCAATTGGGCATGTCTATCAAATTGCATGCAACACCTGATCTAACACCCATCTTTGCCACCGTAAATAAAAAGGATTTTTAGCTTGTATTCTACCTAATATTGCTTGCAGAACCATCATTTGTTGCCTGTGAGCCATATGCACAATACCAGAAAGCTCCTGGAACCAAGGATTTAATCATGTGTTATTTGGGGCTGACCTCTTTTTTGAATTCTAGGTTTAGCTGAACTGCTTCTACAGGTGCAAGTGGACACAGTATAGGACAAAGCAACAAAGGATACAAATGACTGGATTCCAGGGTTGTAATGTCAGTCTTACTTAAGTCAGTGGCAGAATTCTCATGGACTTCAATTGTTTATATCATAAGCCACCATATTAATTGTTTATTTCATATTCTATATTAAAATACTCACCATTCAGGAAGGAACGAAGACTCTGGGTACTTAATTTCTTTTATGTGAGCTTCTGCAACACAAATGAATAAAACTCAAATCAACATCCTGAATACCAAAGGTCTGACACCCAAAGAAAAAGGTGAATAAACTTTAGTTTTATTTGCTGTTAAGAGCAAAAATCTCAATTTCTAAATTAGCTTTTCTACCATTTGTCACATGACAGCTTCCATAATTATCAATCAATTGATCAGATTTGTTTTCCTGAGAGTTAGTAATAAACCCAACATCCTGGAGAATTTCTGATTTCCCACTCACATTCTCTGTAGCTTCAATTACACACATTATTCCTCACTTTGTCTCTAAGCTGTAATGTAGTATGCTCAACAGTGCCAAACAGCTGTTGTTTCCCCATCCCCCCCCAGCTGTCTAAATTTCCATGATGATGGATGCAAATCTTGCATGTAATATGGTATCATTTATACAGGAAGATTTTATATTTCTATAGATATTAAAATATATATTTTACCAATTAGGAAGCTCTAAGGACTTTCAAGCAGAACTCTCCGTTAAGGTAATGGGAGTGTATTTAGAAGCATTACAACAATCCATTTGTTTCTAGATTAAAGTTATCATAGGCCCTTGCTACACATTACATATATTATGTAATTAACTGGTTAATAGCACAATAAATGTAGACCAGCCACATGTGCAAAGTAATTATCACATGATAAAAATTACTTTCCAGCTATAGAAAGATACAACCAGCTATGAAGTTAGTGCTTGAAAATGTGTAAAAATGGTTTCTATCCAGCTTTAATCTGAATGTGTAGCAGACCCCATAGTCTGATGCTGTTTTTGCTAGTTATCAGAAACTACATTTAAGCAGGTGCCTTCTTCATGACTCCAGCCCTATTCAACATCTTGGGACAGAGGTAACACCAAGTTAGTGACACCCCTATGGCAACAATATAAAAAGGTTGAGAACCACCAGACTCAAGGCAGCCCTTGGAATATGCCAGCTGTTAGTTTTCCCTCTTTCTGTTTTGCTTTTGACTATAGAGACCTAATACAGCAATTCTTCCATTGCAAAGAACTCAGAAAGACCCCAACAGGTTTTAAATGCTTTGGATTCCTAGTTGGAAACACTGGTTTAAACAGAGCTCTCCTTCATGACTTGAGGTACCCCTGGATGGGCTCACGGCAGCCCTCAGGAATAGCCAGCTGTTTGTTTGCCCTCCTTTTATTTTTTAGTTACAGACAAAAAAACAGGAGAGCAGGTCTTTTGTTGCAAGGCACTGGGCAAGACCACCGCAGGCCTTGCATTGTAGACTCCCCTTTGGAGGCCTCACACCCAACAGGATCTCAGGGCGGCCCAGGTGTCCAGTTGAGAATCATCCCCACAGAGCGAAGTCGGGGGGGGGGGGAGGGTCGATTCCTGCCTTCCTTTTCCTAAGGTACCCTTCAGCACCGGCTCCAGGCCCAGGCCACAGCCCAGACCCCCGTGGTGGGAGTCCTAACGAAGCAAGGTCTTAGCAAAGGAAGTGCGCTACGTTTTTCGTATTTCCAAAATAGCCTTATTTCTCCCCCGCTGCCTCCCCTCTGCCGGGGGCGCCGCTCTCTTTCCTCCCCCTAAGTCTCCCCCGAGGGGTC